ATATTTAGTCTTTGCTCATTACTTCCGTCTGCTTTAGTTTCCAGAATCTTTTGGCACTATTTCACTCTGACATTTTAGGGACACTAAGATCACACTTGGTGATTCAGTGCTTTCAATCAGGTACTTATAGGATACTCTTTTGTATATATAATGCTGTGAGTATGGAATTTTTTTTTATGTTATATGTAACATCTAGTACCTTGTACAAATGCATAAAATATTAAATAAGGAAAAATGACAACTGTTGAGCTGGCTATTCTTTTGGAGCAATGATACTCAATATTCTTTCATTATGGGAATTAGTAGGCTGCTGGAGCTGTGGAATTATTTGATTGTATTGATCTGACTACAAGAGGAAGCCAGGGCATTGGCCGTGAGTGCCAGGGAAACTTTACTTGCCAGAGCCCTGGCTGCATTTTTTCCTGCTGCTTCAGCTGGTTTCTTCTCGTCCTCTTTCTCAAATTACTCCATGAATCTACATAATTTTCATGAACTCATTGAATGTGTAGTTTGTATAGAACACTGGCTTAGATTTATTTCAAAACATGTTGTCAGGAAAAGGAGGAAAATGTATTTGGGAAGAGGGAATGCTGAGTCAAACTAGATATTTCCTTTTCTGCCTTACTCATGCTTCTCTTTTCTGCAAAGCAGATTTTCAGTTATTTTAATGGGAGATGAGCAGTCATGGTCTCTGTTGTATTATTTTGTGGATTACTATTATTACTATTTTGGGGACTTCCCTGGTGGTGCAGGGGTTAAGAAACCGCCTGCCAATGCAGGGGACACAGGTTCGAGCCCTAGTCTGGGAAGATCCCACATGTCATGAAGCAGCTAAGCCCGTGTGCCACAACTACTGAGCCTGTGCTCTAGAGCCTGCGAGCCACAGCTACTGAGCCTGCGTGCCACAACTACTGAAGCCCCCGTGCTCCGCAACAAGAGAAGCCACCGCAATGAGAAGCCCGCGCACCGCAACGAAGAGTAGCCCCCGCTCACCGCAACGAAGAGTAGCCCCCGCTCACCGCAACTAGAGAAAGCCTGAGTGCAGCAACAAAGACCCAATGCAGCCAAAAATAAACAAACAAACAAACAAAAAAACTCTGGGTGTGTTTACATTGCTTACTTTTATGGTATACAAGACTTACTGTTTGGGCTTAGAGATACTGTTTGCATCTTCTTATTCTCGTCTGTTGTGTGTGAAATTTGGTAAGGTAGTCAAATAGGACAGAATTTGGATTTCTTTCTCAGTACAGAGACCGTTTTAATATTAAGTTTTGACATTTTTAGAACATACCTAGGTTTGTTTTGGATTCAAATTTATTCATTGGGCTTTTCTTTTAAAGTTTGAATTTGGTTTGCAAGGAGTTAAAAATATTAACACAGGATAAACTCAATGTTTAACAAATTATTTTGGGGTTTTGGTTCATTTAAAATTCCCACTAAAAACTTTGAACAGGTAAAATCCAGAAATATTAAAATCTCTTAGATTGTGCTTCCTTTCCCAGCTTCAACTGAGAGGTCATTTATTTTGAGAAACAGTCAATATAATGAGACTACAGTGCACTAAACTAATGTAGAAAATCTCAAGAGGTCTGTTTCAATTATCAAGCACAGTGGCCTATTGGAACAAAAAATTTTCAAATCAAGGCAACATTAAATCTCTTTAAGTAAAATATAAATCTCACCTTAACCTTTGTCTTATTTTTGTCTTCTGTACTTCAGCTGTACCTGCAAGGTAAAATTATTGCTTTTACTCTGTAACATCTTTAAGTGTATATGTGAGCAGATGGGAATGGGATGTGTTTGATAGGGATCTAGCTTAAAGTTATATTATAGATTTTGTATTACCTCTTCTTGACAATTATTTGTTGTTTTAAGTGAAAAAATGTACTTAAATGAATGAATCATCATAGTTTGAGTACTTGGAACTATTTAGTATCAATAAATGGAGGATGTAAGTCCTGATAATGAAAGTTCAAGCTTAAATCTCCACATTATGCAAACTCTGATGTTTAATGAAAACATCTTGTGGGGATGTATCATTATTGGATTTTCCCCCTTTTTTCTTTGGCCATGGAAATATTACCTGGAAATATTGGTTTTCATGTTTCTTATTTTGAAGCCTTGAAAATATGTTTACCCTAAAATTCCTATTTGGAGTTATATAAAATTCACAGAGATAAATGTGAAGAAGAAATAGTTAAGAAATAGAGCTTATATTTCTTAGGGAAGAGAAGATGCAGGGGATGATGAATGCTTTAGAATTAAATAGATTGATTGGTAAAATAGCTTATGTTAATTTATATATAAAATTACTTAAATTGTTTAGAATCTCAGATCTGGTATTAGTTTGATTTGAACATAGTGCGAAGGGACCAAGAAGTGGGCAAGGCACGGAAATGATCATACAACATGATAAATAGTTTATATAAAGGTCATTAAAATTATGTTAAAAGAAAGTTGTTTACTATGCTACAAAAGGGGGAAAATGAACAGACTTTGGCTGTTTAAACTGATGGGTAGAACCAGTTCCCATTTAAGGCTCTGAAAACTCCTTTGAGGCCCACCTCAAATTCCCTCATGTCTTCCATATAACCTGAGTCTCTCTGTCAGTATCAATGCTTTTTTTTTTTAATATTTCACCATGTTACTTTTTGTTTTTGGTCATGCCTTGCGTCATTAAGGATCTTAGTTCCCCGACCAGGGATCAAACCCGTGCCCTCTGCATTGGAAGTGTGGCGTCTTAACCACTGGACGGCCAGGGAAGTCCCACCACATGTTACTTTCATCTCCTTTTTTGCACTCCTTTTACTACTTTGCCTTTTGTTAAAGTTAATGGTAGAGTAGAAAAAGCATAAACATTATAGTAAAAATCCAGTTCCATTTTGAAATGTATAGACATATCGAATCACTATGTTGTAAACCAGGAACTAACATAGGTCAGTTATACTTCAAAAACAAACAACTAAACAACCAAAAAAAAAAAACGCGTAGAAAGAGGGATCAGATTTGTGATTACCAGAGGCGGGGTGCGGTGGGAGAGGGAATTGGACAAAGGTAGTCAAAAGGTACAAACTTCCAGTTATAAGGTAAATAAGTACTAGAAATCTGATGTACAACATGATAAATATGTTTAACAATGTTGCATGTTATATTTGAAAGTTAAGAGTAAATTCAAAGTGTTCTCATCACAAGGAAATAATATTTTTTATATTTCTTTAAAAAGAAATATAAAATACTTTCTTACAAAAGTATATGAGATAATGGATGTTCACTAAACTTATTGTGATAATCATTTTGTGATGTATGTAAATCAAGTCATTATGCTGCACACCTTAGGTTATACAGTGCTATATGTCAATTATATCAATAAAACTGGAAAAAAAGGAACATTTGGCCTAATATAAGGCTTTGTGGTTCTCAGGAGAACCTGGACAAAGCCAGATTAGGAGAAAAGGCTGGGTGAAAGAAAAATTAATGAATGTATCTTTTTATGAATTAAAATTATGTATTATTGAAAAAAAATGGTTCAAGCTTTCTGAGTCTCAGTTTACTTGTAGAATGGGAAGACAAATAGGAACTCCAGTGGTTCTTGGAATTAACTTGGATTAACTTGGAAATTAACTTGGATTATAAATTAACTTGGATTAACTTGGAAAGGATAAAGTACCTGGCACTGAGCAGGCACTCAGTAAATGTCAGTATCTTTCCCATTTCTGAGTTTCACGTCTAATTTCCCTGGTAGTCTATAAGTTACTTTAGGGCAGGAAGTATGTTTTATATTCATAGTGCCTTGTACATAGTAGGCTCTAAAAGATTGTTTGTTGAATTTAATTTATTGTCCTGCTGTGAAAGTTTAGCACTATTATTTCCTGTTTCTTTTTCCTCTGTCACCTTGGATTGAGATAAACATGTTGCTTTCATGAAATTGAGGATTTAATTCAGTAGAATGCCATTATAATATGACTTATTCCATGGAGTTTGAAATAGTAAGGGTCAAATCATTTCCCTGGAAACTTAATTATGTTCTATAAAATCTTATTAGCCTGTCTCGTAGCATCATAGTCACAGTGGAATTCTGCTGTGTTTAAGATGGTGAAGTCTCTGTCTGTAGAATTCTATCTAATGGCACACATTGAGAATATGGGAAATAAATGACATAAAGAAAGAGCAGATGCAAATGTCTTGCAAATATTACGTGACATTTTCAATCACTAATCCTCTAAAGTATGTTCTAGTTTACTAAAATAAACCAAGAATTCAATTTCTTGTGAGCTCCTTTTGCTTAATTATTAGTAGCAGAACAATATTCTGTGATACACTGCAATTTGTCTTCTTTGTGTTTATCTAGTATCTGACTTAAAAATGAATGGAGCATTCTGATTCAGCAGAACTGATTTCATTAACTCATGTCCATTATAGAGCAGAAATGAATAAATGTTTGCTGAACATGCTACATATGCTTCGATCATCAAGACATTTGTTCTCCTTTCTTCTCAAAATATAAGATCTGAGAGATCTTCCTGGCTGAAGTTTGCTGGGTGCCTATTCTGCATAAATGTTTCTATAGAGGCAAGTGGCTACCTTTACATAAATGTGTTTCCATGATTGGGATGTGAGACCTCTTTTTAATACTTTCTCATTATGATTTGAAATTATACATTCATTGCAATTTTTTTCTTTAGGAGTGGTAGCAGTTTATCCTAAGACACGAAGAGTTAAAGAAAAAATTTTTTTAATGCAGTATGTTCTTTTGTTAGAATGAGGACTAAACAGGCTTCTCATTCATGCAATAATGTTGCTTGTACTTAGCACATAGTTTCTAATTCTGTATAATTGTGCCTAACTATTTAATTCAAAGGCAGTTAGCTAGCCTCTGTTACCTCTGTATTATGAATGGGAGAAACTGAGGCTCAGTATTGACTATTTGTCTGTGTTACTGGTTAGGAATTTGAGAAAAATATGCTGCTATCCTAATGATTTACTTTTGTTTTCGATTTCAGTTTCAGAGGACATTTGAGTCTCTTAAAAATGTTTCCAACAAATCTGACCTCCAGAAAACCTACCAGAAGCTTGGGAAGGAGCTGGAAAATCTGGACTATTTAGCCTTCAAACGTCAGCAGGTAGGATTTAGAGCTCTCCTTGGTGGACGATACGAACACTTTAGTCTTCTCGCCTTCCTGCCTGTCAGAGGCTCAGGTGGGTCTGGGGAGACTTATCTTCTAATATTTAGGGCAGAAATAAGTTGTGCTGTGTGGTGCTGACCTGCCGTGTTCACACGGCTTCCTGCGGCATTCAACGTTGTCCTTGCTTTTATATGTGCACTTTGGGGGTTTCCACGAGTGTCCTTATACCTCTTTTAAAGAAAACTCCTGCTGGTTTGTGAAGGTTCAACTACCCTTTGACTAAGGATGCCTTAGTGGCATAAAGGGAACCTCTATGTAACTTGAACAGGTGGCTTTTATATTTGACAGGGGGATACGTGAGGAGAAAAACCACCTCAAGACCAAGAAAAGGATGTGGATGTACATACAAGCTTAAAGAAAGGAGTCATAAATATGCCAAATAGTTTTTTTTTTTAGTTTAGCTTTAGTTTTCTTGTTTGATCTCTGAAGATTAGTAAAAATTTGCTAAATGTGTAAGGTTAAAGGGAAATATGCTTTCCAAGTGCACGTCTTTTAGCCTCTTTATAGACCACAAGATAAATCCAGAGCCAAAATAGACTTTTATAGGGTTGCTTTTAGAGTTCATATTTTATAATATTAATAATCATTAAGTTCTGTGTGTTTGCAAGATACTGCCATAGTAGGTAGCTACTTTTCCCAAACTGGATCTTTTCCAGTTTCTTCATATCCACTAGGTGTCAGGATCATCAAGCTTTTACTGGGGCTGAATGTTTATTCCGATCAGAACAACCAGTTAGATGTTTAAATTAGGTTGCATGAAATTCGGGAATGTGCTCAATGATGGATAGCATCTAGAAAAATGACTAAGTGGCTGACTCCCATGGCCAGCCACCGAGTCCATTACTTAAGACTGTTTTCTGTTAGTGTGGCAAAGGGTGTAACTCTCTTGACGTTGCCTAATTTACAAATTTTGGATCTTTTGGAAGGGGGATTTCAAAGCAGTACTTCCTTTATTTAGTTAAACCTCATGAAGTCAACATGGTGTGGTCTAGAAATAGTGACTTGAAAAGAGAATTGTGTTCTAGGCTTGGCTTTATAATAGACATTACGTGGGCATTTAACCTTCTCATGATCTTATTTTCCTAGGAGTTATATTTGTTTTGTAGAGTGTTCTGGGGCAAATGCAATATCTTTGCACGTACTTTAATTTATATGAAAAAAGACACAATATCCATTTGTTTTATTTATTGATTTTATATTAGTGAAGGCCTAGGAATTAGCACATGTAACAGAAGCAATCACGGTTACTGAGAGCTACTACAGTAAACTCCCAAATGATGCTGCTTAAAATTCACACTGTGAGTCACTGCTCTGGCCTATGTAGTTTTTAGTACAGTTTTGTTTCCAAGAGCCATATTTATACCACTGGGGGGTATTTGAGTTGGCAGGCAGTAGTCAGCGTGCTCTTCTCTTATCCTTTCTCATTAGCACATTTTCAGTGATTAGATTCTTACATTAGCTAATTGGGAATTTGGAAAAATGTGAATGCTTCAAGGGCAAAAGGGCATAACTCTGGGAGAATGGCATTGACGACAGACAGGTAAATTGCATGTGTATGTGAGAGAAAGATGGGCATGTCGTTATTTATATATGTATACGTATGTTTATGCGTATATAAATCTTATATTCTATTTATTAAATGACAACTGTCTGCCACATAGTGTGATTAGAACATTTATGGATTAGATCATTAGATAATTGTGACGATATAATAAGGTTGGTTTTATGAGCACCATTTTACAGATGAGGAAACTGTTAAGAGAGTTAAGTAACTTGCCTGAAGTCACTAGGCAAGTAAACCTGAGCTTCAAATAGGTATCAGTGACTCCAAACCTGGGGTTTCTCCAATATCCCTGCAGGGAGCCAGGCTGGGGGGATAGTAAAGTGAGGAGTTCTAGGCATGCAGTATGAAGACAATTTTAGGATAGGACAGACATGGGGCTTAAAGAGACATTTGAAAATGGGCATCTGATGAGAAGCAGAGCCAGGGGCAGCTCTCTCCTCCTCTCTTTCTCTCATGCAAATTGTTCAGTATAGACAAAAACACAAAAGAATTTTTGAAAGAGTATCTTCAGACAGCTAAGAAAATGTATAAAACTTTATGTTTACAATCTTTGAGTGTTATGTCTAGGAACCCTAGTTCTAGTGAAATTTATTCACACAAGGCAATTTTTTTAAACTCAAAAGGACAAATTCTTGTGAAACAGACTTACCTGCATACATAGAATACTGTCAACCCTTTGTTTTACTTGATTCTGCTTTTCCCTATATCTAGTGATCATTTTTTCTACATGGAAAAGATGGAAGGGGAATTAGAGTGAAATGGTCAGAAAAAGGATGGTAGAGTAGAAAGAAAGTCAGGGACCAAAGAGCGGTAAAAAAGAGGGAAAGGGACTTATAGGGATAAGATAAGAGGGATAAAGTGAGGGAAATTAAGCTATATTTGGTTTTATACTACATGCATTTAGTAAGTTAAAGCATTTATTTTTGAAGAATTAAAAATTCTCAAAATAGAGAAAGGGAAAAAAAGAGATAATTACAAGAAGACATAGTGTGAATGAGGGAGGTGTCAGAGAAGAGAAAGACAAACTTTGTTTCCCATTAGCTTCCAAATGTAGCAAAGCTTCCTAGAAATTTGTAATATTAACCAAGTTCTTCTGTACCAAAGCCACAGAGGAATTGTTGTGTTTCCTAGATGGGCAGGGTTTAAAGAGTCAGAACATTACCTTTTCTCTGACTTGGTGGGATTTGTCTTTTATATCCTATCCTACCCTCTGTAAAGTCCCCCAAACCTATAAACACACATTAGTAAGTTTCCCCTACCTGAAAAGATTTAGGTCTCTGTAAAATTGCCATTCAGCAAGAAAGCTTCTGCCTTATAAGGCAGGATGCTTTGTACCAGAGAATTAGTCATGCTTTGTTCCCTGGTCCAACCATATTTATCATTTCTCTTTGTGACAGAACGTAAGCTCTGTAAGGACAGGGCCTTTTCTGTCACCTTCAATGCTGTATGCTCTGCAGTGCTCATAGCTGGATCTGACCCATGGCTAATACTCAATAAATACTTGTTGGTGCTGTTATTGCTATGAACAAGGAAGCATGCCAAAAGTTTTAGCCTCAGATTATAGGCAATTAATTGATGTGTTTAACTGTACTTTTTAAATATAATTTAAAAAAGTATTTTAGTTATTGATTTTTGGCTGCGTTGGGTCTTTGTTGCTGTGCGTGGGCTTTCTCTAGTTGCGGCGAGCGGGGGCTACTCTTCATTGTGGTGCGCGGGCTTCTCATTGCGGTGGCTTCTCTTGTTGAGGAGCACGGGCTGTAGGCACATGGGCTTCAGTAGTTGCGGCTCGTGGGCTCTAGAGCGCAGGCTCAGTAGTTGTGGCGCACGGGCTTAGTTGCTGCGCGGCATGTGGGATCTTCCCAGACCAGGGCTTGAACCTGTGTCTCCTGCATTGACAGGGGGATTCTTAATCACTGCGCCACTAGGGGAGCCCTACTGCACTTTTAAAATTCAGAAGGGTATTAACCCTGAGGCTTCCTGGATGCCAAACGTTGACAGATTGCTCCTTGCCTTATGTATTATTTAGGTTTTCTCCTAACATATTTCATTTTACATCTATTTCTTTAAACAAACACAAAACATCAATATTACCTTAGCTATGAATTAGGGATGCCCAATAAACTGACTATAATTATTTTCTTGGACTCTTTCATTAGATTTTATTTTCTGCCCCTTTCTATGACATTTTAAACATCATTTTGAGAGATTTCTTTCCCTAGGCCACATATATCCCTGGAATACTTTGCTCTATTCTTTTACTTTTTTTAAGGGTTGGTGGTGCCTAGCCTCGCCTTTCCTCCCCTCCCCTCCCCTCCCCTCCCCTCCCTTCCCTTTCCCTTCCCTTTCCTTCCCTTCCCTTTTTCTGCTCCTGCTTCTTTCCTGTTTGTTTGTCTTTTAAAGACTGAGTGCTTACACTTCAACTATTCCTTGGGCTATATTTTAGGTTGGGGTACAAGCGTTTCTCCATTTTCCTAATGTCAAAAAGACTAATGTTAAAAATAGCTTTGGTTGGAAAAGGTGAGAGAAGGCTGTGATAGATGAGGTGGTGGGATTCTCAGGATGAAGCCGTCTGAAGTAAATGGATGACAAAGCCATATTACCAAGAATCTGGAGACTTATTCAGTTTTTACTACATCTGAAAATGCAGTCTTAGAGTTTATTTGTTTAGACTGTTTGGTTTTTGTCCTCCAGGTTGATGATACATAGGAATGGTAATAGCAAGCTGCAGCTATTATATAGAGCCCAGGTTTATGTATTAATTTGAGAGTCTATAAATCAAGAGATTTCCTTGGAGCTTTGTTTTTCTGGAATAAAATAAAATAGAGTTTGATATTCTAGACTCTAATTTTATTCCTTTCTTCTATTCTTATAATGCTATTATAAGTATTAAGAAGTGTAAAAAGTAATAGCATTATAAGACACAGCCTGTTTTCAGAAACTTTTAAAGTCCTTTGGTATGAATTAAATTTGACATTATTGAGTTGAACATTATGTAGACTGAAGCACATTTACACACTGATGTGAAAATATGTAAAATTAAAATATCATACCTCAGATATACATCCATGTTTCAGTGTGTCACAATCCCTGATCTCCCTCTTGTCTCCCTGATCATGGCATGCTATTCTTGCCTTCTGAACTTTTCACAAGGTTCATAAACTTGATATTTAGGATATCTAGCCCTTTTCTATTTACCTATTTAACTACTAATCTTTCTTTAAAGCTAAACTGAAGTCTAGCCTCCCTCATGATACTTTATCCTATGGCTTCCAATCAGTATGTAAGCTCTTCCTTCTTTGCCCTTCTTAGCTTTTATCCATGTCATACAATTTAGAATCTGACTGATTACACACTTATTGAAGATCCATGTAGT